ACGTAGTTTTAGTCCCTAAACCTAACCACATTTTGACCACAGCGCTGTCAGAAACATAAAATTGAAAATGAAAACAAAGAAACATAAAGTCTCAACATATCTGCTAAATGTAACATATCCGTGGTTTGCAGAAATGTACAATGCCAACATCTATCCTGGTGATTGTGTTAGTAAATTCAACTTTCAGGGTGTTTTCACATGTAGTCCTTTTTAAATGAACTGAATTCAGTTCTCTGGAAGTGCACCAACGAGTGGACCAACAGGAAAGGGACTTGATCTTTTTGTGTTCACATTGTCAGTACATTTGAAAGAGGACTCAGTTCTTTTTCTGGTCAACTTAAGCTCTGATGAGGCCTCAGTCCGCTTTCTGTTCACACTACAACCTATATAATACTGACATAGTTTTGTTTTTAATTTGATGTGGCACTGCAGTGCGGTTATGAAACCCCTCACTTTCAGATGAACTTATAATTGGAGGAAAACCTTAGTAGACTGTTGCCATTTGATGTATTCTACATTCTACATCTGAAGACGCGCAGTATCTTCCATGGACCAAACTACTCCTCGTCGTGCACCCTTGCAAGCGTAACAGGCTGACGTGGTTACATCTGTTTTTTCAAGTGTCCCAGTGCAACAGCATGAGATCTAGAGGGTTAAATACAATGGTGAAGAGCAAAGCAAACCTGGTGTGCTTTGTGCTCATAAGGCACAGGTTAAGTGAACCGCATGCAGACTTAAAGTGAACCCAAGTCAAACCATCTTGGAGTGTTCACATATGTGCAAAAAATGCTAAGTCACCACTCTGAGTCCGTTTAAAAGGGCTGAAAAGGACCAAGTGTGAAAACACCCTTAATCAGTCTTAATTTCAGTGAGGAAAACTATGACGAAAAATATTTGTCAACAATTTTCCATGACAAAGACAGGATGTTGACAGACTAAAAATATATGTTTGATAAAAGATTGTTAACGAGACAAGATGGGATGAAAGTGTTTGTGGCAGACCATCAGACTTTCAAAATGTGACATGAGAAGAGGGTGAATGATAAATTATTTTATGAAATGTAAAAATGTTTTGAACTACAAAACAGAGAATGGTTGTGCATGCAATTATCTTCTAATGCCACATGAGGGGTATGAGAGGCTATAAACTCCTGTAAATAGTCTGTGCCATGATGTTTCCCTTGTTAGCAGGTTAACCACACCAGACCAAGCAGCCGCCAGCCAACGGTCTTCTTATCTGTTGATCCAGCAGGACTTTGCTCAGATCCGGACTGTCTTGAGATGGTTTATGGTTTGTTTGCTGTTTGACAGGCACGTAGGAGGTTCAGTTATCAGTGAGTGTTGCATGTAGCAGTCTGAACTCAGATCAGTTTTCTCAGACAGAGCTGAAAGTCCAGTTTTAATCACAGACTCTGTGAGAGGACATGAGCTTAAACCTCCAGACAAACATGCTGCAGACGGAAAATTCAGGCTGAAATAAAGTTATTTTCTGCTTCTGACAGTAAAATCGATAAGTCAGAGTTTACAGTGAACCTGAGGACAAATCCACAGTTGTCTCAAGTAGTTATTTGTAGTGTCAAAGTTTTTGAGAGCATAAATAGAGAGATGTTGAGCTTTTCACATGATGATCAGCGAGTGTGTGCTTGTAAATCATCGCTTAAAGCTGTCAGAAATTCTGCTGGAGAGATGCAAGTTTGTAAGAGTGTGGAAATCATTTGTAGTTGTAGGAAAGAATTGTTTGAATGAAATTTTTATATAACCTGCTCTATGAATATAATGACAGCAAGTATTTTTCATAAAAGTTACCAACTGTAGTTTTAAAACAGTAAAGGCAAAACAAATTAAAGTACAAATTAAAAGTTATAAAATACTGTGTGAGTGTCTCCTGGGTGCATGTTTCTTTTCATTATCAAAGCTCTTGCCATCTGTTACATCTTCGGTGTCGCAGGCTCCACTGGGATACATCTGTTTTAAGTGTCTTAATGGAATAATGTCATAAATTCTAGATGATTAAGAACAACAATGGTGGTGACTGTGTCAAAACTTGCTCACCAGGAACTTACTTGACATGTTTCCGTCAGCTGACAACATTTTCCAGGAACTGCAGTCATCTCACATTAAGGACCCTGTCTGGTTCACTTTATATGGGACTTTTAACAGTGTAATGAATATCATGACCTGCTGTCTGAAAAGATTTTGATTTGTTTCTGCAGTTAATAAAATTCTTGCTGCTTTAAAAGTTAATTTGTAAAGTAACTGAATTGATATCAGCCTCTAAATTTGATTTCGGTATAAAAGTAGATATTCTTATCTAAAGAGTAAAGCTGTATTTTCTGTTTGTTTTTTTAAGCTATTAACTCTGGATTTTGCCACTGACACCGATAAAACTCTGTGGTGGAATGTAGCCATTAAAGTACATTTACTGAAATACTTAAAGGTCCAGTATGCAGGATTTAGTGGCATCTAGCCAGGTTGCAGATCTGAAACTTCTCCCATGTGCCAAGTGTGTAGGAGAGCCATGTGGGGTGATGCAAAGACGTGAATGGCCCTGTCTATAGCCAACAGCCCCTTCTAGACTGCCTTGTCAAGGCAGGAATTTCACACCGTTATTCTGCCTCACTGTTCTGTATAAAAGGTACAATCAAGAAATGGTGGGACAGAGCTGTCTCGCCTTTAAGCAGACATCGGAGGTAGTGACAACACCAAAATGATGTTTACATAAAAGGGACAGCCGGCAGGATAGGATCATGGGCGGCATAGACGTAACGTTTTTAAGACGTGTTAGATTTATAAAGTAGCTGAGATATTCAACAAGTAGCTGACAGCAGTTAGCAGCTAACTCAAAGAACAAGAACAGCAGCCGAAAATGTGTGCAAATTGGGAAAACAATGAGGTCCAGAAGAAACCTTACCCTTCAAGGAGGGGACAAGATCAGCCGCCATATAACAGGGACAGTAAATATCGTTATTACTATGTTATGCCATGGTTATTGTTTATGAAGCACTGCTGACGTGTATGCTTTATGTCACACTAGAGGCAGACCCCTTGAGTCACACCCGTCACACCTCTGGAGTGGAATGATGCCGCCATTTTTTGGGTCTGTGTAAAAAATGCAGTGGCACACAGGACGGACTTCGTAGTGGCCCTGTAGTGTGACCTCTGTTTGATTTGTCCATTCTGGGCTACTGTAGAAACAACATAGTTATGAGTATTATTACTCTATGATTTCTGCCAATAGATGTCCCTGAATCCTAAACACTCGACCTGCAAGCACAAATTGGAGGTATAAAAATATCTAGAATTAGCCTCACTACAACTATCTGCAATATTTTAGTGTTAATTAAATGATATCAGTAATAATCTAATAAAATAACGGTTTATACCTGAATATTAACATAATACTCTACAGCAGATCATGGGCGTGTTTCTTTTTTTAAATATTTTTATTTAAGCAACCTTTTCAGCGCAGGATTTTTACTTGTGATAGAGCAGATATGTCCTAGGTCCAGCCTGGCAGCCAATTATGGCCTGCGGACTGAATTTCAACAGCCTGCGGCTTGTCTTTTGAAGTACACTATCTGTGGCCTGCCGTAAAATATTGGTCAATCAAGGGAGATCCCTTTACATATTTTCCATTCACTTCATGATGGCAGTTCAGACATGCACCAAGTAGGAGCTATGCAGGTGGAACTAATGTGTTTTCATAAACAGACGGTAAACAAGCAAATGAAATGTAACCTAACAGTGTGAAGTTGTGAAGTTGACAGCAAGGGCTGCTGCTTCAGGAGTGACAAAAAGTTGAATACTTTTTTGCTAAACGATAAAATAGTGTTCTTATTTCTATGTGATCTGAGTTTCTAGATTTTCCATTTTAAGATTACAGATTATCGTTTACATCCCATGCCACTGACATTTTTCTGTTTCTTAATCGCAGACACTTTTGCTACCGTTTCATGTCATATCATATGAAGCAGCCTACTTCATTTAAGGTTCTGATGATGTCGCTCATAATTAACACCCCTGCTTCTTTCACATAAACACGCTCATGGCTGGATAGGAAAATGCTGACTGAACTTGTTGAACCAGCTTTGTAGTATCAATTATCCAGACAGTTAGTGTTAGGGTTAGTCAAACCAGATATGGCGAAGATATCCTGGGTAAGTTGAACTGGCTTCGTAGTACAGGCCTCTCAGGTTGATAACCAGATTTGTATGGTGTACTGTGTTGTGTATAAAATTAATCTACTTTTTTTTACTCCTGCAATTTTGCTATTTTTATTTTATTCCTGCATATTTTAAATTTTAGTACTACTTGTTTTTGTATATGTTTTATATTTCTATATTGTCATATATCTTATTTTGATCTGCTTTTGTCTCCTTGTATTTGCATGTATATTACTGTCCACATACTGTTTGATTACTTGCTGCTGTTTGACAATTATTTCCCAGTTTGGGATCAATCTATCTATGTCTGTCTGTCTGTCCAGATGGCCAATGTCAGGGTGAGTCAAACCAGATAACGAGAAGATATCCTGAGTAAGTTGAACTGGTTTCACAGGACAGGCCTCAGCTGGCCCCCAGATATTCTCACATTACCTAATCTGGTTTCCATTCAGATAAATTTGGATTCCCCTGTAATACCATGGTATCAGTTTATTTACTTGAGTAATAACAATTATACTTCTTTCACCACTGACAGTAAATTCCACAACAACACACATTACATTAACATTACAACAGTCCATTTGTATTTGTGTCAAAAGCTCCGCAGGGTAGAAACACACACTGCCCAAGCAAGGCAAGGATGGCAAAGGCATGACCCGCCCTCTTCTCCCTTACTCTGCCTCTGATTGGCTTACCCTGATATTCATCCTAACCCTAACCAATCACAACCAACGAAGGCAACAAACACTAGCCAATCAGATGGAGCGAGGGGCGGGACATGCCTTCGCCATCCTGGGACAATAATATTGGCACAGCACGAGCCTGTCCAATGGGGAGCGGAGGGGGGCGTGACGTCGGCTTCACTCTCGTCGGTGTGTTGAACCTTGAGCCACAACAAACAGCGACGATACGACGAATGATAAACAAGTAAACACAGAAACAGGTAAGACGTTAGCTAACGGAGAAATAACACCTGGTTTACTGTATGTAGAATGATATAACGGTTACAGTCACGTCTCAATGCAGCGCGGTTTGTCCTACAGAGCCACCGTTAATCCTGCGATATGTTAATAAATGTCAGAATAAAGCGACGACATGAAATAATATTGAACTGACTGTGTTGAAATAATAATTTACACAAGAAATATCAGTGTTGGTTGTCAGAAAGACGCCGTTATGGTTGTTTTCCTCCGGCCGGTACGTTGTGTTCTTGGCTGATGCTCAGCGGTTCAGCAGTATGGCGGCCTGTGATAAAGAGAAACGTTATGTGGATAAACAGCAGTCATGCTGCTCGGAGTCTCTACAGGCTGCGGGCTGTCGGTGTCACCTCTCGTTATTTACATGCTGCCCGTCTCCTGGTTGTAATGTGCATACACAATGTAACGTTATCAATATCACTTATATCTGCTGTGGCCTCAGAGACAGGACAATGTGTTCCCTGATTACTCTCACCAACATCACCTAGGACACGTTAGGACAGACCTACTCAAACAACAGTGGTACATGTACATTACTTGAGGGTTTCCATTTTACAGTGGAGGAGAAATACTTATATCAGCAATACTACATTGTAAAATAATGGTTCATAAGTTAAAAGTCCTTCAGTCGAAAAAAAATAGTAGCATCAAAATATACTTTAGGTAAAGAAAAAAAAGTACTCATTTCATTTTCATACATATATTGCTGAATTACTGAACTATTACACACACACACACACACACACACACACACATATCACATTAGCTACAACTGGACTGGACTGTGGAATGGGCAATTTTATTTTATTTTATGTCTATTTTAATATCACTGTGCTGTTGATGAGGGGAAGTGTGGTTGTTCTTTGTCTATTATGAGCTGCTGGACAGCTGGATAAAGTTCTTTCTATTCTTTTCTATTCTATTCTATTCTACTGTATAATTAGATGCATTCATATGTACATCACTTCAATGTTGCAGCTGGAGCTAATTTTATATACTTTATATACAGCTGGGTAGCTTAACCCATAATAATAAATCATTATTTATTAGTTTTATTTATATCTGTATCAATAATCTTAATCTGCAAAGTAACTAGTAACTCAAGCTGTCAAAACTAGATGTATTGAGGTAAAAAGTACAGTATTTGCCTCCAAATCTAGTGGAGTAGAAGTATAAAGTAAAGTACTTGAGTAAATGTATTTAGTTACATTCCACAAATGCCATTTTATGTTGCTTAATACTTCAACCTTGCTGTTATTCAGAGGGATATTTTTGTACTTTGTTACTTTGCAGATTAAGATTTGACATATAAACAATACAATGCATGTTTAACTGCCAAAAAGTGTATAAAGTATTATCCAGCTATTACACCAGCTGCAACTACAGAATACTGATTATGATAATGCATCAATAATAATTATCCAGTAATGTAATATCAGTGGTGGAGTGTAACTACTGTAGTTTATCTTTTTTTTTTTACGTCAAACAATTTTAACTCCACAACTGTATATAAAAAATCAGCTCCACCTCAACCAACAACAACAGTGGCAGGTAATTACGCGTGAATGTGTTGGTAATATGAATACAGTAATACAATTTGAAACAGTAAAACACCCACAGCGGTCACTTTTAGCATTAGGAGTACTTTTAGGTTTGATACTTGGTGGATATTTTGCTCATTATACCTACATGCTGGTATGTAATATTAATATTATGAGTAATATTTTCAAAAGTATGGTATTGCTCTCTCTTTAAAAATATTTGAGGACTTCTTGATGATAGTTAATCACAATTATCAGTGATTAACTATCATTTAGACATACAATTATATTCTATAACTCTATTACAATAAAAAAATTGTTTAAAATGTACAGCAGCTACATTTAGAAAATAACAATTGTTCTGATGAAAACCTTGAACATTAGGTCTGTACTCAATAAATAAACCCTGATGGTAGTCACATTTTGACAAAGTCATTTGTTAAATTAAATCAGGAAAAATATCCAATCACTCCCCAGATGAATATAATCATTCAGAAAGATCTCTTAAATCCTTGTTCTTAAAAGGACTTAAACATATTTATGGATATTATAATGATTCCAGATATGTGATTATCTATTTCCAGTATTTGCTAATAACTTATCAGCTCATTCTCCAGAAAAATAATCAATTTTTCAATCAGTTATGGTCTTAATGACCAAGAAGTCGCCTAACAATGAGGCAGCAGCCCTGGAGAACATGCAAAGTAATATAAAGTGTGACTGAGTGAAAGAATAAATAACTATAGGGATGCTTTTATCATTTCAGAGGGGTACTACACAAATATTAGGACAAAGTGATAGTATTATAAAAACAATGAAAACAAATATACATCAAGCAAAGGTCACACTCTAGTCTCTACTAAGCAGCACACTCCAAGTCACAACAGAATTATTTCTGAAGTACTACAAGAGATTTTACTTCACAGACACTGCACCAGTTGAAATTTGTTCTCCTGGAAAATGTTTGCTGGAATCCGTCCAGGTCCAATTTCACATTCAAGCGGCTGTGTGGCATGTGGTTAGTCAGCACATCCTGCTGCACCAACACGGCAGTTCCTCTCTGCTCATGCTGTCTTTTGTGTTGTGCACAGACAACTGCAGCCATGGGCAAGTTACATTCTCACTTGGCCAACCCCAAAGACGAGAGTCAGGATGCGCTGACGGCCTCTGGAGAGTACAGAGACGGCGAGGAGGATGGAAAGAACGGAGATGTTTCACAGTTCCCCTACGTGGAGTTCACTGGACGGGACAGCGTCACATGCCCGACATGTCAGGGCACCGGCAGAATACCACGCGGTAAAACGCTCTAGTAATAAACCTTTGAGTCATTATTTTTAGCCGAGAATTTTAAGTCTGTTTGAAAAGCAGTGCACTTAAAACCCCTGAAAACATTTCAAATCAAAGTATTTCTCAATAAAATTAAATATTCATGACTTAAGCAACAATCACTTCAAGTTCAGGAAAAAAAAATACATCCTTAGGTGTTATTTCTTAAGAGTTCACATCCAAAACGTTGCTAATCTGCTTCACCAGGACTGTGTGGGTTGATCACATGTGACTGGGTGTGCCGGCAATATGAGCAAACACCCACACAGCTGTCTTCATATTATGATTCAAGTGTTGCTCATTAAAAGCACAAAAACACCTTTTGACTGGTGAGAAAAGGTGGGAGAAAAACACGAAATGCTGAAATGTCTTGTGAAATGACCCAAATTGTTCTAACCTTGGCAGAAAATGCTATGTTATGTGAGTCTGAGAGTTTTCTGGGCTTTTAACAGCTGCACTAGACACTGACCTTCAAACTGAAGCATGAAGTTACATTGATTATTTCTGACTCATCTCTAAGTGCAGCTTCCTGTTGACCAGAACACTCTCTCTGATGTTACAAAGATGATGTTTGTATTCCAGGCAAGATGAGGTTTGAACTGTACAAGCATGAAAACCTGTATTAGGATTTCATTGTGGCAAAAGGGGCAACCATGAAGGGATAACAGGGCCTGTGATGATCTATTTCAGTCCCACGTCAAGTTATATTAAAATGCACATTGCAGTAAAGATGACTGAAGTTTTCAAATATGTCCAGCTCATATATACATGTAAGAAACCTAGAGTTTATATGAGCCAGATCCAGAATGCCAGTGCATACATTTCCAAATATAATACAGTGGAAACCTCTTTAGTGATCACATCTGTCAGGGTCAAACTGATCGCTGTAAGCAGATTATCATAATGACTGAACTTTTTCTTTTTCTTTATTCTTCATGCAGATGACCATCTGGCATTTATACATTTATTACATGACTATAAAGTAACAAAATGGACAGCTTCACAGTTTACTGAATTTTAGTGACTGTTTCCAAATACAGTACAGCTGTTTCATTACGTGGGCATTTTGTGACTGGGCATTATCAATGCACTTGACGAGGGCGGCATCAACCACAGGTGCTTTCACCGCACACAGGCTATGGTAGCCTGAGCTACATCAAATTTCGCTACAGCATGTCATTGGCAGTTTGTCATAAGCTTTGAGGATACTATGGTTTTCACTGAAAATTACTTTCTTTTTGTCACTGATATCAATGTGCACACAGCACCAGCCTCTGGTATCCAGCTGGAAAGGATCACTGGAGTAAAAACAAACAAAAAACAGTCACGATAGTTGTAATTTTTTGTCAGTGAATGAAAAGACCCCCCCAAAAAACACTGTAAGTAGACTATTCCATTACTATAAAGCCCCCATGCACTCCCAGGACAAATGACTCTGATCGGTTTTGATCGGCAGTGATAAAAATTCGACAGCTGTGTGAATGTGCTAATTTTTGCCCCTTTGCCAGCAGGATGCAATGAGGCGCCACCACAAAACACCATCCTTCTCCATCCAAGCAGTGCTCAAATATCGTTCAAACTTTAGTTGGCAACAAGTTTGAGAGAGAGGCTGAACACGTAACCACCATAAGAGTTTAACTGGGGTCCATACAGCTTTCTACTGTTTACTAACCTGTCTTATCTACTGCAGAACCATATACACAGCTCTGGTCTACTGGCAATGGGAAAGCAGTCTATTGCCTATTTTCCTATTTTTGCCTCTTTTTTAAAAACTTACATACACATGCTAATTTTAGTGGAAAAAATGGTAGCGAAATATTTAAACAGCATTTGTTTTGGAATGACTGTCTGAAGCTTTTTGATCACTATTACATGGTTTCCACTGTACTACAAAAGTCAAAATAAATAAAAGTTTCACACTTTTATATCACAGATGCAGCAAATTTATAACGTACAAGAAAAATCAAGAGAAAGACTAAATAAATAGACCATTATTGCCTGCTCTTCCAGGCTACTGAGATAGAGTTAGCTAATGTAAAAAAAACAACAATTAAACATCCACCAGACTTATATTTTAAAGTTTTGCCAAAGATAGTTAATAAAAGATTGATGCTCTTAAATTCCTGCAGTTTGTATGATATAGATCAGGAGGACATGTGTGGCTTTTTACAGGTCCAACAGCTCTAACAATCTGTTTTCTTCCTGCTGCTGCACCAGTGTTACAAATTAGGAATCCGGTTAAAATTGTCATGTCATTACACTCTATACACATCTTTGTTGCTGATTATGGCCAAAGACATATTTCACCAGTGCATACAATTTATACTCCATTACTTATTCATTTGTTTGCATTAAGAATAAACCAATCTACAACAGAAATGATCTGTAGTTTCAAGTGGGAAAAACCTTTGGGATAAGCCTGATATTCCTCTCAGGAGTTGTACAGTGGTGTTGCACAGAGCAGATTTTACAACATGCTGCTTTCTCCATCAAACAGTAGAATGACACAGATTTTCTTTTCTGTTCTTTGAATTATTCAACAGGTCAAGAGAATCAGCTCGTGGCTCTGATTCCATACAGCGACCAAAGGCTGAGGCCGAGCAGGACGTAAGTCTGCAGTCAGTGCTCTTTCTCAGAGAATGAGCTGCGATAGCTTTCTGCTTGATGATGAAACTCAAAGAACACACAGTACCATGACAGACTTTGAAGTCTTCAGCTGCTTTCAGGGTCTCACTTCTCCTTTCTTTCTCATGCAGAAAGCTGTATGTCACGATATCAGTTGCACTTTGCCTGCTGCTGTCCGGCCTGGCTGTTTTCTTCCTATTCCCTCGCTCTATTGATGTCTCCTATGTGGGAGTGAAGTCCGCCTACGTCTCCTACGACCTGGACAAGAGAATCGTCTATCTCAACATTACAGTAAGATTGTTTCTGCATATTCCAGATTTAAAATAAAAAACCTGTACGACAGTTTAATATTTTGGCTTGTGTTTAACTTTTTGACCAAACCTTAATAGAGCTCGGTTTAGGATTTTGGGGCATCTATTGGTAGAAATGGAATATAATATTAATAACTATGTTTGCTTTAGTTTATATTCACCTGAAAATAAGAATAAGTGTGTTTTCACTACCTTAGAATGAGCTGATTGTATCTATTATACTATAGTGTGTCTGCAGCCGCAGCTAACACTCGCTAGATAGGGCCATTCAAGATTCTACGTCGACCGCCATAGTCTATATTTCTCTTAAACGCAAGGCACACGGGAGACGTTTCAGATCTGCAACCTCACCGCTAGATGACACTAAATCCAACACATCACACTTTAAAGCACCAGTAATCAATATTTCTATATTAACGATGGATCACATGACCACTTGTAGTGATGAATACACAAATTTATCACTTGACTGCAGTTCTCTTCAGCTCTAGTCTACGGAGCTTTATCCCACCTTGCAGCTCATCATGTTCGTTTTTCGGCCACAGAGTTACTGTTTTGGTTCACTCTCACCGCTCTTATCAGTACTGTTTTTAGCATCCCACTATTTTCAACAAAAAAAGCTCTAACAACCCTCTGTATATTTCCAGTAAAACAACCAATGGAAGACAGACAAATTTAGCAACTAGCTGTGGAACATTTAGCCGCAAAAGAGAGAGATAGTTCCCTCGGACGTTGGTGAGGAGTCAACATTGGATTTAAATCTACCAGGTTGCCAGAAATCTGACCCAAAATCTCGATAATGTTGCTTCATGTCTCCTTGTCGTGTGAATCTACAACCCTTTGCCAGTTTACTTGCTCCCAAGTAAACAAAAATTGGTTACTGCAGGTTTAAAATGCTAAAAAGTTAAAGGTTTACTATGCAGGATTGCCAGTTACCGTTTGTGAGCATGCTCACAGGTGAAAGTTAAAGTAAAAGTCAACCAATGATTCACTAGTTTTTGGGTCTTTTTTTGGCGCTGTCTCTTGGATGCCTGCTGCTGAAGTCTGAAACTTGGTTACTGCCTTTTTATACAGCCCCGACCTCACCTGAGCGCACGCCCATACATATCCTGAACACAGAAAATATGAAAATACAGGCAGAGGTCAGAGTCTCTGCAGAAAAATACACATCCACACACAGAGTGGGTCGCAAGTGATGATTGAGAGGGATTACTTCTGATTGTATATATTGTTCTTTCAGGAAAATCGTGCGTAGTATATCTTTAACATTGGGGCCCTTGTCATAAAGCTCTCTATTACCAGAATCTCACACCTATCATCTTCTCCCATCCAGAGCACTCTGAACATCACCAATAACAACTACTACACTGTATCTGTGACCAACATCACAGCACAAGTGCAGTTCTCCAAGACGGTGATCGGCAAGGCCAAGTTCAACAACAGCTCAGTGATCATACCTCTGGATGAACGGCAGGTAGGTGGAAATACACTCTACTGTACACACACTCATAGGAAAGCTACACTCATAGGGCTCTTACAAATTCACAACTGATGAAAAAATCAATTCATTTTTATAAGTGACAGAAAATGGACTGAAACTCTGATTCACTACTTCAGGCTGCAGCTTGCACAGCTTATACAACAGCTCATTGTTACACCCACAGTCACAATACAGAGAAGCCTCATCCAACTCAACTCACAGGCTCGTCATGTGCTCAAAATAATAATTATGTTTCTGCAGAAATCCAGACTTCAGATGTTTTAAGCACCATTTAAGCCTCATTGTCTTAAAGTCTTGTGACATGACAAATCTTGGTGCCACTGCTCGCTCTTAGGCCATTGATTAAACTGAATTTAGGACCATTAGTTTTTGTTGTAAGTAGCATACATGTGTAATATGTTATGGTATAATGTTTTTCTCTTCAAGTGCTTTATACATTGTGTTTATTGCAGATTGACTACACAGTTCCCACTACCATTGCTGATGAGATGAGTTACATGTTGTAAGTATCTTTCTACAAGTATAATAATGTACTTTTTACACTTGGATCATTTTAAATCACAAACCACCTCTTTTCTTACAGTGACTACTGCACCTTGCCGACCATTAAAGTTCACAACATAGTGGTCATGATGCAGTAAGTATGGCTTGTATGTGATAAACTCATAAAGTCATTATCTGTTGTGATTTTTATCCTCTCATACATCAACACCTACCTCAACACCCACACACATACTGAAGAGCTGCCCAGAAACAACACAGTCCAACAGGAGACTCACGGGCTTTTGGGTGCCTTGCTCATTTACACGTCACCACTGACAATCAAACAGATTGTACATTTAGCAAAGCAAACGTTTCTCCAAGGCAGAAATAATCTTCATTAGCAGACTTAATCCTCAGTGGTCAAAGCCAAAGAACAGCTTTCTGGCCAAGTAACAGTAGACTGAGTCCCAGTGAAAATGGGAAAAAAAAAATAGATAAATAAAAAGCCACTGACACTGCAACACCTACTCTTGCAATAGAGCTTTATATCTAGTACAGAATGCCCTAAAGACCAGTTGTGAAGCTTCAGTGTGATGGATTTAACAATAGAAGATGTGTTTATCCCTAAAAAACCTGCTTTTGTTTGGGTCTAGATATCTTGGGAGGACGAGGCAAACAGCTGGCTTTACCGGGAAAACAAAAAGCAACACAAATATACCATAAATATGCATAAGAATAATAATTAAGTCAATAATTATTTTACTAATTATTGTTCTTGCTGAACAATGCATTCTTGTACACTACATACCTTAAAAATGTGTTTTTCTCCTGTTTGTGTCCCCTAAAATGGCTGACCTTGGCTATACTGACTTGTGTCTATGCAAAGTTTGTCACTAGAAAGTTGTTTTCACATTTCTCTACTGAGGGGACAATATCTGTCCACTATGTACAAATCTGAGATTCAAACGTAAACTCGATTAGGTACACCACGAGCGTGAAAGCCAATGTCTTATATGCAGATGCCTGCAAAGAAAACTGAAAACATAAGCACATAGTGGACTTATTACATACGATATAAAATCTCAGTCAGACAGAATATACAGTATCTTTCTGCAAACTTTGATTCGACCTCTGGTATATTTTTGCCAAAACACAGTGTGACAATGTGGACACACTGCAAACATGTATGGCTGAATCTCTCCGATGTGTCCTCTAAAGCTAATGTTAGCCATCATGATGCTTCTGTTCTTTCACTGGTCAACCTAGCACTGGTCTCCCATAGCCAGACCTATACCCACTTTGTTTGAGCATTGTGCCAGCGCTGGGGAAAGCAAAAAGGAAAGCTTGCACAAGCAGCTGTGGTGGGCAGGGCAGAGGCCAGATCCAGTATTTCTTAATCAGCAGTAGATCTGCTTCCAGCCACCTTTCAGAGTTTTTTTTATGTGGGAATACCATGTTAAACAAAGTATTAACCATAGCTTTTACATAATTAAAATCATGTCCGAAGGGGGGACTATCACTAGTTAACAAAGAAACTCAAACTGGCCATACTACGCTCACAAACATCATCCACAATAAGACAGAAGACTGTGTCCATTTATGTCGATATTCCTGTAATCCGTAAGGGTCCACAAATCAAACGAATCCAAAGGGCTTTTAATAAACATTAATCCTAGTTGTGAATAGTGTCAAAGCCTATCACATATAGACACCTGTCCCAAATATATGCAGGTCGAGTTCAGTGATTTAAGCAAAAAAATCCCAGGCTATAATTGAAGTTTTATGGTAACTGACGGTCTTCTGGTTGAGTTGGAGATGTTGGTTTTATAGAGGGGTGGGAACAGGGGCTGTCAGTTGGTGAAGCGAGCTGTTTCCATATATGTCACTTGGCACCACATCAGCCAGTAGCAAAATACAACTGCAATAGTCAGGTTTCAACCTGTGGAGGGCAGTCACTGTGCATATTTACAACATAAAATGTACAATTCAAATACTTTGCACTCAAATGTCAAGGTTTTGAACCTGAATTAAACAGCAACACTCCTAAATACCCATATATGTTGGTTTTCAACTCAGAAAAGGTGGTTTGGGGATTTAGTTTCTTGTATACAAGGTGAAATTTTAAGGTTAATCAAAGGTCGAAGGACAGATGGTGTTGTATGCTGTACTGATTGTAAAGCCCCTTGAGGCAGATTTCTGATATTGAGCCATATATATAAATAGAGATGACATTATCTGTGGTTTTGGGGATCTACTCATTTAGATTCAGGTCAAACAAAAAGTTCTTCCCCAGAGAAATATTTATAACCTACTGAAACTCAAATCTGAACCTGTTAAAGAAGGGTACTTTCACATCCACATTTTCCACACCGTTGCTTAATTTAGTACTAAAAGTCTTCCTGTGCTTGTCCTACCTTGTTGTCTCGTGTACAGCAGTTGACTCTGTGGTTATTTTTCAGGGTGACGGTTACCACGTCGTACTTCGGACACGCGGAGCAGGTCTCCCAGGAGATGTACCAGTATGTGGACTGTGGGGGGAACACCACCTCCTTGCATGGGCATGTGCAGGTCTACCAGTAAATGAAGCAAAAGAAGCCCAGGTGTCAAATACTGCTGTGACTGAGGGTCTCACAGAGAAAATTGGGCTGGGAAATCTTGGTGACAACTTAATGGACAGGGAGATCATTTTTCCTTACTAGTCAGTGGCTCATCCATTCTTAAATTCCCAACCACTTTCTTCCTTTTAACATCAGCGTTCGTGATAAGAAGAGCTCTCTGTGGTTGGTTACTTGTCAAACAGCCTGGTACAAGCAGACAAACACAGCCACAACTCTGCAGGATTTGCCTCGAGGTTTGTTGTCATTTTTGGTGCCAACAAAACAGACAAGTATAATTTAATATTCACATAATGGTAGACATTCCCATCATGTTTACACTGTTACTCCTCAACAACTACATCACTGGAAGCAGTAGTTTCAGATATGATGCACTTTAACCTGATCCTTAACTACAGATAGTAACAATGCCGGGTTCACACTACACAACATTTTTGTCTGTTCCGACAGTCACTATGTCAGATTACGCAATTGTGGAGTCATAAAATCGTGGCGTGACTTGGCCGACAGTCGTGACAGACTACACGATGGTCCACACCAATAATCCCTGGTTGTCTTTCACGACGTGTGATGTCACAGGGTTATTCTTATCCTATTTTTATCATTATCACTATTGATTCAGTCACTGTGGCTGTTCATGTGCCAGCTGAAACATTATTGTAGTAACGTAGAAAGCACCGCCAGATGGCAGGAGCTACATTTGAAGTACTGCATGCAAACATGCAAGTCACTGAATCCTCCACAACAAGTTCGACAAATGTTTCACAATAAAAGCCTTTTTAGAAAATGAAGGGATTCTCTCAACTGAAGTTATAAGGTGCTTTTAATTTGAAACAGATACAGGAAGTGTTGAGTTGGCACAATGCATTAAATATATCAAGGCAAACGGGAGCGGATAAAAAGAGGGAACGAGGAATAATGGCTCGTTCATGATGGTAGTCTGTTTCAAATGAAGCTGGTACCCTCTGCAGTTGTGGTGAGTAAAAGCCACTACTTTATAATTTTATTACTTACTTTATATTCGTCTCCATTATGAAGAAATAACATTCTTTGCTAGCTTGCTGCTAATGGCAGTACTCAGGGAGGTGATAAAGTGCCTCTGCTGTTTCACACCATCATTTTTCCTGTTTTTACTCTGTGTGATGAAACGATGGATTATCGTGTACGACACTCGTTGTCGTTCATGATCTGAGCCGACACCGTACGATGTGTCGGGCTAAAATCAGGCTGATATCCTGTAGTGTGTACCCGGCATAAGAATGTTGTTACGAGTGCCCCTTCTATTCCACACCACTTTAAATGAAAATACAAAAACCAACAACTAAGATTCAAGAAGTTTTTTTTGTTTTTTGACACAGTGAAAACCACTGAACTGTTCTTGACCACCTCTTTCCTTTCTCTTTTTTGGTTTAACAAGAATAATTGATTATGTGTAGTGCAATATAGATGACCTATTGTCTCATGTAATTTGTTTTGGGGGTTTTTTGGCAGGATTTTTTATTTTTAGCTTGAGTGAATATAGTACAAGTCTTTTCTTCTGTTTCGCTGTCATTGACCCGATTGAGTTAAAAGCAAATGTGACTACTGTGAAGGGTGACAAAAGAACTTTGTTAAAGGGATAATATTTTTTATTTCAACACAAATGTGGGAAGCGTTACATCAGGCTATAAAATAAGAATTGTGTAAATGTATAATTTGTACTTTCTGGCTTGCTTTAAAACATGCTATATCAAAAATAATTTCTGCTTTGGGAGCAGCTTCCTTCCCTTTTAATTAATTTGTCCTATTTTTGTGGGGTATGGTGTCACCTGCAATAACGTGTTTGCTATTTTTAATCCACTCTGCATTTATAATTTGTATCATGAGTTGACTGCTATTCTTGGATTTTGAAATTATTATGATATTGTAATTTTTGTTACCTGCTGTCATTTTGGATTGGCTTTTCAAACAGATCATGTAACGACTTTGGTCTGACAGAAGATAAAAATTATGAATTACTTATTAATGATTTAAAAGTTTCTGATCCTAATTCATACGTACAGGTACAATAAAACATCATTATGCAAGTTTTACAATTTCTACACAGTCATCCTGAGAAACTGTATCCCTAGATCCAGCCCTTCTTGATATTGGATGACAGTGTAGATGTGACTACGTCTCTGTCACTGCCTCTTCTCAATGGTTTTGTGTTTTTCATGCATGAAACTGAAAATAAAATCATGACTTATTTTGAAAGTTTTCTTGGGTGTGCTTGTAATATTCTCTGTACACACTGGGTGGTGCTGAGCGGTCTGCTAAACCACAGTATCACTCAGATCACTGTTGCAACTGTTATTTCACTATTCTCTAATTATAGTCATGTTTATGAGATACTTCAACTGACACCACCACCAGCTTAATGATAGACAACCTGCAAAATCTTATTTCTGAGCTCCATTAGCACAATGACTTTTATTGTGAAACCAGAATTAACACCTCGTGGTTGTGTGCCTCCATGAACCAGTCAAGTTGCAGTTACAGTTTACACCCATCTGTCCAGACTCACATGTAGTCAGGACAGTTAACAATGCTTCAAAAATGCATGTTGCTGCAAAGAAACTTTGCACACACATCTTCAAGCCGGAAGCACAGAAGACCTAAACAATCAGCACAGTTTTAAGGTTTCAGGACTAGAGTCATCAATTCCGTATCTGACCAAATGTCTCCCCTTCTGTTATATGCAAGAAGGTGTTTTTACAGAACATTATGATGTCACAGTGAAGGTAACCTTCGAACTTTTGGATACAAAATGTCACCAACTCATCACGGTGAAATCCTGTCATAATTAGCGTATAAATTCTCGAGTTGAGGCCAAACACGTCACAGTGACCTTGACTTTGACCACTATAATTAATTCATCCTTGAGTCCAACCGGACGTTTGTGCCAAATTTGAAGAAATTCCCTCAAGGCATTCTTGAGGTATCGCATTCACAAGAACAGGACAGATGGACAGACAGACAACTCAGAAGTGTTACACCACAAATAGTATCAAATGATGGAGAGACGAACACCAAAAAATTTGTTTACAGGATTAATCACAGTTAATTTAGAGGAATATGAACATGATCATCAATTCTGATATTTGTTTATTGTAGAGCTGCAAGTAAGTATTATTAGATTATTGGTTCAATGATTGATATAAAAAAAATCATCGTTAAAATGTAAAAAAAATAGCACAAAAAAAAAAATCCCTCAGTTTTATGGACCCAAAGAAAACGTCTTCAAACGTCTTATCTTGCCCGACCAACATGTCATAAATCCAGATATTCTGTTTATGACAATAGAAAACAAAAAAAGAGCAGATATCCACGCTTGAGAAGTCGAAACTAGTGATTTTTGATTATTTTTTACTGTTGATCACTACCAAAATAATATTCAATTATTTTCTTACTAACAGTGTCGGCTGATTACAGTTTAATTTACTGTCTCCACATGCATCAAAATGCATTTGTCATTGTTATAGGGAAGCCATTAGAGTAGGAACTTCAATATTCATGTTAGGCAGACTCAACAGACAACATACTGACACTCCTTGTGTTCTTAAAGCCTTAAGATATCAGTAGAAGAGCTACAATGGAAATTTCTCCTGAGGGTGACACGAGAGAAAACGCCATAAATGACATAAAACCAAAATCAGTTAATTCTTTGGAGCATGGATAGCAGTCCAGGTTGGGCTGCTCTGAACCAAACTGTTGAATGAATAGTTAGACCATCTGAATGACCAACAACAGCTCCCACTGATCCCACCACTAGAGGGCATGAAAATGTTTTAGAGTAGCATCAGTCCACTTATGTGGTGGGGGAGAATCCACTACTACCTGAGGATATGTAGAGTACAGTGAGTACCCAGAAAAAAAAACCAAATAACTACTTAATAAAGCTGCTTCTTTCTTTCTTGTTTTACTTGTATAAAGTATGAAGATCTTCTTTCACTACACCTTTCTGGCTGCATGTGAACGAAACTGTCACTCAGTGCAGGCTCTCATATACTCCTTGCTGTAGTCAGAAGCACAAGATGTCTCCAGTGTATCTCGGTATGTTCACATCTGTTGCGCTCATTTAAAAACCAGTTCATTTCCTCTCTGAGATCCAGGTCAGTGGTTTGGACCTGAGCTTCACTGGGACACATGTGGCCAAAAAACACACACATACACAACCAGTAGGCACTATCAGTTTCTATAAATTAATTTTCTGTATGAAAGATATGTTAATTTGTTTTGATCAAATCATAGGCAGTATATTAGTGAGCCAATATTATCTTATCAGGGATGTGTTGGCATCAGGGTACGTTACCAAACAGATTTGTTCATTGTGTAAAAATTGAATATAGGCTGATGTAATACAAACAGATCTGTTTTGTATGACAAATTTTTTAATCTTGTGCGCACAAAATAATTGACTATAAATTCATATGCATATCTAACGACTTTAGATGCACACAGCCACCATATAATGGAGAGAACTCAGCTAATCAAGTTTAATTTTCGACAGAGTCCCATAACCTTCAGAACTTAGGGGGCTCCGTGCGAAAATTCAGACTGTATGAGTTGTCTGGACACAACATAGAGGTGGCTTGAGAGCACACGACTTGCAGCTAATAATGCTAACTCCATAAACAACACTAAACAATGGCAGGGGGTAATCAGGAGGTAGGCGCTCCGCTGCTGCGACGCCACCATCCTAATATTAGCGGTAACCCTTGTATAGGAGCTGCTCAGAGTAGCTAGCCAGTGGCAGCATTTCCCACAGAAATAAATCCTATGTGTGCTGGTAGCTAATGGCAGGAGGAGTGGTTTAAGGTGCCTCTGAATTCAGAGGTTTTATTTGGTCTGTGAATGCAGCACAGGTGGAACACATGCATGCGTTTTATTTTTTTCTACAGCAGCAGTTTGTTGAATTTGAGTCACAGGATGGAGAACTGAGAAGCAAATTGTTTGATCATCAGACAAAAGACATCCTCTCAATCAGTATGTGGTCAGACTGATCAGATCAATGGATTATAGGAGCAGCGGCAGCAGAGATGAGTGAAAGCAAACTTCCATTTGCTGGTTAGACTCAGCACTGAACTGCAGGGTGAACTGTTTCCATGAGATCGCAGACAGTTTCATTTAATGTAGTTTGGACTGACAATAGACAACACACTAAAACTATATGAATTAACGAACGGTTAAGTTTCTCTTTCACTGCGCTTGGCGCTCTGCTGCTCCGTCTGTGCTCAGAGAATCATATAATCAAAATTGTGGCGGCAAATGCTGACATTGTGCACCACAAATAAACAAACTTGAGTGGGACACACACACTAACATGCACATATGGCCGGATCAGCTTTACCACAACAAAATTACAACACACAGTAAGTTTACACACTCAGTTAAGTCGAGCTATGGCTATAGCTTTTCCGGCTGGCCTATTATGTCACACACCAAACAACTGATAAACTATTTGGCTACGGTTAGCTGGCGGCGAACTGGTG